ACTATGCATGTGTGGGGCAAGGGGTATATGGGAACTCTCTGCTTGATTTTGCTGTGAACCTAAAGCTATTCTAAAAAAGAAAATGAAGCCTTAAAAACAAAAAACAAAACAAAACAAAACAAAAAAAAAAAGAAAGCAAAAGCATTCCAGGAAAATAAATATGCAAATAATTAAATAAATAAATAAGAATTAAATAAATAAATAAATAACCCAGCTGCCCTGTGGGGACATAGGCCCTCCACTTTCTTCTTACCTGGAGGTCCAGCAGCTACTTTGCATCATGAAACTACAGCCCTAAGAGGCTGGCCAGCACGTCCAAGGAGATGGAAAGTAAAAATGAGCAATCTGGGCTCTCATTGACCTAACCCTGCTGCCTGTCCTGCACCTCCTGCCCCCACATTTCTTGTTATTTGAGGAAAATAGAGAACTCTTATTTGTCCAGGCCAGTCTTCATAGACATGTTGCTGTTGCTAGCAGCCAAATGCAATCCTGATAACTGCACAAAATCAAATTCAGAATTTTAAAGACATGTTTACTGTGATCTGTGAGGAACAGAATTGTTTAGCTTATGAGATTACTTAGCTGTTTTTGTACTAGTATAATTTATTGTTTTACTTATTGCATACCTTGAATAACCGAGTTATTTCCATGTGATTATCTTTGAGTAGAAATGTATAATAAATTCACTTTGGTGTCTTTCTTTATGCATAAATCTTGGCTTTAGTCCAAATTAAGGACTATGATGTAAAAATGACTTAGGTTTCCTCTTTGATAAACCATGGGTTACATGTTTACTTATCAAATATTTATTACCAGAAGTCAGTGAACAGTCTAAATCTGTCATTTTTAAAAAAGGAATTCCTCTCTATATCTGGATTCTAGTGCTCACATAGTCTAGGAAAGGATGTGTTTCTTGTAAAAAAGGGGGGAGGGGGAATTTTGGTTAACGCTCCATCTCGTCGCCACCACGTTGCTCACTGTTTATACCCCGGGGTCCACTGGAAAGAGGTTGCTTCTAGGTGCTGCACCTCGGTGGGTTGCTGGGTCTCCTCGTCATG